CTAAAAACCTAGGAAAAAGAAGAAAATCAAGGAGTGACCAGTTGCAGAAATGTATGGAGAGAACGTTCGAGAAGTTTGCAGAGAGCCAGAGAACAAATATGAAGGTATACACACACACACACACACACACAAAAATAGCTGTACATATGTGTGTGTGTGCGTGTGTATACATTAAAAATGATTTGTCATTTATGATCTTCTTTCAGCTCTTCATTGCGAATGAAAATAAAAAGATGTCTCTGGAAATAGAGATGGAAATGAAGAGATGGAGGGAAGAAATGGCATGGGAGCAACAGAAAAGGGAGGCAGATGAGAAGAGACGAAGAGAAGAGAGGGAAGTGGATGACCGGAGGAGGAGAGAAGATCAGGAACACCAGATTCGCATGATGTCCATGCTTCTGCAACACCAAAATTCTGGCAGTCATGCTAGTACCAGTGCAATTGGCTACGAGCAGTCACAAAGTAATCTTCCAATGAGTGCATTGCATATTTTAGACCCTCATGTGTACCACGATTTGTAGACCCTGTTGCCATTTTGTATATGTGTGTGTATATATACTGTATATATATATAGATATATCTATAAATGCAGCAGTATTCTTTTTCTGATTACAAGTCAATGTACGTGTTCATATTTGAGTGATTATCTCTTAGAATTTACATAGTAGAATGTGTAGATGTTCTGAAGATTTCTGTGCCAAATAAAAGTTTGTTCTCCAGTGCCAAATCACAATTCAGAGAGAGAGAGATACATGATTAAAAGTTTAAAGCATAAAAAAAGATACATTGAAATCTTTTGCATTTTTCAAAAAGTTTTATTGAGTCTAGCAGAACTTTGTTTGGTAAAAGCAGTGACACATTTGTCTAGCTTATTGGAACAAACAAGTAATTACATAAATACAATTTAAGCATTTAAATGCATTAGTAGGGCCTGCCGTATGGCTACTGCACTGTCACATGTTGGTGTTTGGTCATCTCCCGTTTCAACTGTGGTCTTGTCATTTTCACAACATGCCACCATCCAGTCGTTGTCAAAATATTCTCCCCACGTCTCGCACAAATTGTGAAGCGTACAACATGCTGCAACAATGTTATTGAGGTTCTCCAGGAGTGTGTCCTGTGTCTTGAGCAGAATCCTCCATCGGCCTTTCAACCTGCCAAATGCATTTTCCACAACCATTCGTGCCCTGCTATGTTTATAGTTAAAATCTTTTTGAGGTTGTGTCAGTCTCCCATTGTCTGAAAAAGGCTTCATAAGCCACGTTGATAAGGGATATGCGGCATCACCCAACAGCACCAACGGTACTGGCACCCCACCAATATCCCGTTTATCTCCCCAAAACAATGAGCCAGATGTTCTGTTTTGGTACAAGGGAGAGTTTGCAAATACTCGTGCGTCATGTACACTACCTGGCCAGCCAATAAAAATGTCTATAAATCGA